CTCAGATATAACTTCTTCCCAATATTATGTGGTATAGTAGAAAGAATATTGCCTCTGGAGTCAGAGGGCCTGGGTTCAAGTCCCATCACTGTTGTTTATTCCCTATGTAACCCTGAGCAAGTTATAACTTCCCTGAACTCTTTCCTCATTTATAAAACTTGGGTGATGGGTTAGGTGGCCTCTGAGATCCTTTTCAGTTCTGGCTCCAGGATCCCATAAACTGGCTATTCACTCCTCAAACTGGATCTCTTCTAAAAGCTCCATCTTTCAATCCACAACAGTAACAAAAACAATGCATGTGTCTGTAAGATCTTCAGTTTCTTGCCAAGAACTTACTAACAATGCTTCCTGGGTTCCTGCACATCTGTCCCTGCATAAAGCATCAGGGGTAAGTACTAGTGTGTGTTCTGATAAGCCTTGGGAAACCCTCTATTACATCTTATATGCACACTCCAGGAAGGCAGTAGATCTCTATCGCTCATGTCAGATCAACAAATGGCTAGCCTTCTGAAGGGAATCAGAGACTCCCCAATTCTACCCCTACCCCACCCTGCTCCTCTTCTTCCTCTGACCTGCAATGTGCAATTTTTCCTCCTGGTGACATGCCTGTTGATCCATATTCTTTATTCCTTGGAGCACAAAAGGCCTCCTCTTCACAGCTACAAATATTCTGTCTAAATTTCTGATAAAATTAGAATTCTCCTCTGCCTCTTTACAAATGCCTTGTTATCACTAACCAATCTTTCAAGCATGAACTCTTTAGATGGAAATATTTTGTTTTCATACATTAATTACAGATTTTTCAAGACTTATTTTGCTCAGAAATGGGTTTACCAGGAGAAGAAAACATATTAGGTTTAATATTTGACAAGTTCTTATGTTCCAAAAATTACTGAGCTGTACAATTTATCAACTTTTAATTGCTGTTATCACTGATGTGGCCTCTACCCAAGAGAAATCAACCCTCTGTAATAGCTGCCCCTTAAATTTCAGATTTCTATTTTGGACAATGCCTTATATGGGTCTTCACTTAAATATAAAAAAGAATCTAAAATATTGGAGACAATACTTTCTAATTATTAAATACTTTTCCTTTAAGTTATCTTTTCAAATTTCCACATAACATCAAATATAGGACTAAAATTAAATTCAAAAGAGAAATTAAAATAATCTGTCATTCATATAACTAGCCTATAATATTCGGGGAAAGTACAGTTCAACAGCATAAAAATAAACATGCATACAGTGAGACAATGGAGCTAATCAACAATTAAAAGATAGGCTTATTTGCATTCACAGACACTTATAGAAATAAGGGCTTTTGTTATAAACAGTAACTTTGGAATCCTGACAAGTTTGAGGCTGTCCTCTTTATTAGGACAGCTTTAAGAGATGGACAGTTAAGTATGAAAGACAGAGGACATTAATTTTATTAATACAGAAAAGTCTTGGGTGAGAAAAGTACTGGTGTTGATTCTAAGCCAACACCTTTTCTGCAACTTTTAAGGAGCTGCTTTGAGCTCTGAGAGATTAGTGACTTGCACAGGGGTACAACGTTAGAGTATATGTTAGAGGCAAGATCTGAACCCTAGTCTTCCTTCTGACTTTTGTTATGACAGAAGAAATCATTTTAATAAAAAAAACTAACTTTTTGAGAAAGTCACTTGAGTAAGCCTCTGAGTGGTAGTTTTACAATTTCTAATATCAGAGAGTTAAATCAGGTGATCTCTAAGGTCATCTTCATGGGAAATCCTGAAATTAATCTTAAATAGGCTATTAATAAGGAGTTTGGCAATCAAAATATTTGCCTACTTGTAAGTATGACATCATCTTTATTTTGGACCTCTAATAATAATAGTTGATGTTTCTATATCCCTTTAAGTTTTGCCACTTCATTCTCATAAAAACCCTAAGAGAGAGGTTCTGGAGTTATGATTATCCTTATTTTACTGATGAGGAAACTGAGAATGGAAGAAAGTATGTAACTTAACCAACATCAGAGCCAGGACTAGAACTCAGGTCTTCTGATTCTCTCTGACCATGGTTCTTTCCACTATACCAAGTTGCCTGTCTACTCTAAATCCCCTTCTTTAATTAATTAATTTAATTTTAGTTTTCAACATTCACTTCCACAAGATTTTGAGTTCCAAATTTTTTCCCCATCTCTCCCCTCCCCCTACCCCAAGAAAACTCATTCTAAATACCCCTTCCCCCAATCTGCCTCCTTTCTATCACCTTCTCTCCGCTCCCCCTCCCCCATCTCCCCTTATTCCTTTCCCCTTCTATTTTCCTGTAGGGCAGGATAGATTTCTATACCTTATTGCGTGTATATCTTATTTCCCAGTTTCATGTAAAAACAATTTTTAACATTTGTTTTTAAAACTTTGGGTTCCAAATGCTCTCCCTTCCTCCCTCTCCGCTCACCCTCATTGAGAAGTAAATCCCTTCTTATAAAGCAATCACTATCTCTTTGAAATAACTGGTACATAGCACTGTATTGGTGATTTTTGACTCTCATCCTTACCTACATACATGCTTCCATTATTAACTGCAGTGCTTCTGCCTTTGATGTCTTCTCTAAGTCACAGTAGCCAGATCTCACATAATAACAGAAAATGTAAGCAGGCAGACCTTCCGGGCTCCACTCAGTCCCTGATGAGGATATGGCCCTCACATTTTCTCTTCCTCAGGTTCCCCAAATGATCAATATTTTTTTGTGAATATTACATGTGAAAAGAAGATATAACCTATGGGAAATACTCCAAATATCTTAGGGAAAAGTATAACCACAAAAATCATATTTATGATTGGTTATAATTAAACGAATTACCTAGCTTCATATAACACTTCTACCTTGGGCATTTTCTTTCCAAACCACATTTTAGATGTGCTCAACAACATTTGCTGTTTCTACTTCTTGTGAATCCTATTTTCCTCACTTGGTATCACTGGCTACCTCTATTTCCTATAAAGACTCATCTGTTGTACTGTGAAAAAGCAGTCCCCTGCAGCTCTGGCAATCTTGGATACATCTTTCTGGTTTTTTTTGTCTTTTTAATGCTCTATCACTTGGAGGAAAATTTTCTTTGAAAATATGCCTTTTAAAAATTCTTACCAGTGGCCCTTTATTTTCCCACTGTTTCACTTTTGAGATAAATGCTTTAATTTGTCCCATAGGATATCCTTGATTATTCCCATAGAACTGAAACTACAGATGCCCCAAAAAGCAACTGAGAAGCATAAGGAAGTGAACATAGGTTGAAGTATTTTGCTAATGATAATTTGTGTGCAAATAGTAGTACAGAAGATGTTACCTAGAAAATGCATAATCAAAAAAGGGAAGTGAGGGGGCAGCTAGGTGGTGCAGTGGATAGAGCTCCGGCCTTGGAGTCAGTAGGACCTGAGTTCAAATCCGGCCTCAGACACATAATACTCACTAGCTGTGTGACCCTGGGCAAGTCACTTAGCCCCACTGCCTCATCAAAAAAAAAAAAAAAAAGGGAAGTGAGTCTGATCTGTAGAATGAATGAGTAGATAAGTGACAGACAACACAGGTGCTGCAGTGGTACCCAGAGAATGTCAAAAGACCTCCAGGAAGACCTCTAGCCTTTAGACAATTGATTGGATGATCTGAACTAGATCACAGGCTAAAACGATGACAATGATTTGCCATCAGTATTACCAAAGACTTAAAAGTAAAAAGTGGTCGTCTGAAATGGGCAATAAATTAATTGTTAGAAACAAAGGATATTTATTTTGAGAGTAAATTAAGTAACTGACGAGAAAAAACAGCAATCAAAATATTATGGCTCACGTGAGACACCACTGCACATATACAGAGAGGTTCAAAAGTCCCACAGTCCTGACTTTCTAAGATCTCTGGGGCATCCTTTATGTGTGTGGATCCATTCATCCATCCATCCAACCATCCATTACATACATATACACATACACACACCCTAAGAGTGTATGTGTACACACACGTATGTTTATATACCTATGTAAAACCTCATCAAGTCTGTGTAAAGTTGGATGGGAAAATGAGAGTCAGATGCTCTCAAAGGTCCCTTTAAGGACTAACATCGTATGATCCATTATTACAAACGTCTCATGGAATGTCTAACAGGCAAATGGAGAACTCTGTCTAGTGTCAGCTCAGGCACATCTTATGTAGAGGCAAAGGGACATGGCATGGTGAGAACTTGATGTCCCATTATTTTAAATTCAAGGCATGAACATCACCGTCTAGAGGAATTCATTCTCATCCTCATTGTCACTTAATACTCCAGATGCCTAGATAAATAAATATGTGAAACCCATTCTAACCCATGTTTAAAATATGTGTGTGTGTGTGTGTGTGTGTTTAAATGTAATCAGATTTCCCTGATCAATGTGCTTGCAATAATTTCAATGCATATGGGATGGATGGAGGCAGAGATCAGATGATTAGGTGTTCAAACCTTTTTAGCTCTTCACAGAGTGTGAAGAACTGCATAGGTATGCTCTTTTTTTGTTGCCCTGAACACCGTTAAGCCAGATGGTGAAAACGGAATATCAAGTCTGCTACTATGGAAACCACCATCACAGCAGCCCCCTCAAGGCCCTAAACCTATTGGGCAAGTCTTTGATTTCCTGTTGTCACTAGCTGGACCTGCTGTCCTTCACCAAAAGCTACCACATAGCCACCAACCTAATAGAAATCTCTTTAAGAACCTAAGTGTTTTTATGAGATGTGTGTGTGTGTGTGTGTGTGTGTGTGTGTGTGTGTATATATCTCCTTCACTCTAAAAAAAAAAAAAGCATATCCTATTATGATAAAGCAGACCACCAGAAAACCAAGGCAAAATGTAACATGTTTTTCTTCATCAATCCAGTCAAAACCCACAAAGGAACAACATAATATCTCTTTTCATGTTCTCTTGCCATTTTTTCAATTCCACTTTTATTCAGTAAATAGATACGACCTATGACAGTCAGGAAGTGAAACTGAGGCATCTTACCTTAATGTTACATGCTTGTTCCATCAATCTCCGGGCATTTTCTTCTGCCCTGTACCTCTTTGGAAGCTGGACTCTGAAAAACTTTAAAGCACCTTCGAAGTCAGCCTGCAGAAGGTCTTCCTTGGATGTCTGTAAGATAATTACAAGTGAAATCGTGATATCTTTGTCTATATTGATGATAACAATTATAAAGATGATATATTTTCCTGAACAGTCAATATTGCAAAATTTCTAAACCCATTCTTCAGGTGGGAAAACACACCTATTTTCTCTGCCAGAAGCTAAAACTGATTGCATAAACCCCAGAAATCCCATTCAAAGAAGCAATATGAGAAGGTTCTAACAAATTAACATGCTTGTCCTATAACAGATAAAAGTTAGGAAGGTTCATCCTCCAAAAGTTTACCCAGAAACAGGTTCTGAGTAAAGAAAAAGCCTTGGGAAGAGGACTTTGGTATTTTAAGGTTACTGTAATTCTGGGTTTCTGTTTTTCTTTTCAAGGTATTCTTCTGAAGATGTGGGATGACACAACCAGGGTGATCCCAATCCTTCAGTAAGGCTTTCATAAGAAGTTTAGAAAATTAAAAAATTGGCAAAACAGAGGTTGAGGAGATTCAGAAAGCTACTCAATGCCTTGTAATCTTCACTTAGAACACTAGGAAAATGGCTGTGGAAGTAAACCAATGTGGAAGTAAACCTTACTGCTAAGTTAATTACAGAAAATTTACATCTAGAGCAAAAACATGCTTATATGTTTTAATATTGAAAATGTTTCTTCAAGACAACACACAAATACTTTTCATTTCAAATGGCGCAAATAATATAAATTAAGGTTCAGATGGAGGATATATAAAGTCAAAGAAAATGGTCTTCAAAGCAGTCAATGACTAACTGTTAATAAAGAGAAAGAACAAGTAAAGAAATAAAAAAATCAAAACCATGGAGACTAGGAACCATAAGGCTACATATTATGTTAAAATTTTGTGTCATTCAAATTCCATTATAAACACATGTAAAATTTGCTAACCTTAAAGCCCATGTTTGAGAGAATATTAAAAAAAAAAGGCCAACAGATTCCTGCTCTCGGCAGGGCATTACCGGCGTCCAATAGCCCTGCTCCTACTACTCTTCCTGTGGTGAAGTCCTCTGGATTCCTGACCCTCTCCAACCTCCATTTCAATTTACAGTAACATTAAACTGAAACAAATAAAAATTCAATTGCTATTAACATTGGGCAAGATCTCCTAAGCAACCAGCTTGAGTCCCTACTCCTGTAATCAGAGAACAGAGCTAACAATGGCGGTGGTCATAGAAAATTAAGCTTAAGCAGCCATTTGATCTCATATCATTCTCTGCAGCAACTTACTTGTGGCAGGACACAGAGGTGGTTGGGAGAATTTTAGCACTGTCCTGGGTGTCACCTCTGCAACATATCTTGTTTGGATTGCTGGGGTAACCAATGGACGTATATTGGATTGATTGAACTTGGATACTACAGAATACCTCTCTAACTAAAATATCAGCCTCTGAGAACATCTTGAAAGTTGCTTGGGACATCCACATTCCATTCCCACACGCTATACATTCTGTAGTCCATTAGGCCCACAGAGATTTGTCCTTCAGGCAAATATAAGGAATAGGGCAGTTAGGTGGTACAATGGATAGAGCACTGGCCTTGGAGTCAGGAGGATCTGAGTTCAAATCCGGCTTCAGACACTTACTAACTGGATGACCCTGGGCAAGTCACTTGATGCTGATTGCCTTTCCACCCCACCCCCTCAAAAAAGAAAAAATAAATAAATAAAAGGAATGAAAGACATTAGGCTCTAAATTAATAGCCCTTTTCCTAGTATCTCAGAGCCCATCTGCTGATGGACATTCCTCCCTACCTCCAGTTAGATTGCTGTTTGTCCAATTATTATCTCATCTGATCCTCACACCAACCCTGGGAGGTAGGTGCTATTATTATCCCCACTTTAAAGATGAGAAAATTGAAGAAAACAGAAGAGAGAAACTAGGAGAAAAGAAAGGCTTGGAGCCCTGCTTTTTAGGTTCTTCCTTGTGCTAATTCTTTTTAATTTTTGTTTCCTATCTCCATATCATGTCATCTGCTTTCTGGTTTATATCCTCATCTCCTTCCCACTGTGAAACCATAGGCTCCACCCCTGAATTCCTGACTCTGATGGGTGAGCCTTTGACTTCTCTAGCCCGGACCCAAGCCCCCCAAGACACTTCCTGGCCATCCCTACAACATGGCTACTACACCATGCTTCTGCACAGAAAGTTCCCTGCCCCATGCTGCACCACTCTTTTATGTGTTGATTTTTCCCAGTTAAAATGTAAGCTCCTTGAGGACAAGAATTATCTTGTTTGCTTTTATTCAATGATGATGATGATGATGAATAATAAATAACGATAACTAACACCTATATAGCACAGGCAATACGCTAAGCATTTCACAATCCTCTCATTTGATCTTCACAAAAATCCTTAGAAGTAGGTGCTATTATTATCCCCATTCTACAGATGAAGAGACTGAGGTAAACAGAGGTTAAGTGACTTGACCAGGAAAATGTCAGAGCCTAAATCTGAACTGTTCTGAATCCAAGCTTGCCACTTTATCCACTGTACTACCTAGCTGACTTAGCTATATATTATTTGTATCTTTGGTACTTAATACAGCGCCTGGCACACAGTAAGCATTAATAAACGCTTGTCCGTTCTGTCTCTCTGTCTCTCTCTCTCTCGTTATACTGTCACTGTGTACTATGATTAACTGAAACAAAATCTTAAGGGATTAACTTTCCATGTTCCAACCTGGTCTGTATCTGAGGCACCTCCTAACCTTTGTAGAAATAATACTTTAATAAGCTACCCTCTATTGGTTTAGGTATATTACCAAATATTTAATAAAGTGGCATCAAATAAATGTCAGTCTGAATAAGGGATTATAAACTCTAGAGTAGAGTATTAAGCTAAGTCACAGTGTTTTCTAGATCTTAAAGGAAAAGGAGGTAGACCAGTAATTCAGTGAGAATGTGAAAAAAATCAGATGACCAGCTGGCAGCTACAATGGTAGTCCTGAAAATATTAAAGGAATGAGGGTAGAGCCTAGAGAATGTTTTGCAGTTTGTCTCGGGAGGACTTATACAAAGCTATGAATCAGAATCACATAGATTGCAAAGGTATGGAAGGATACCAATCTTCACTAGTAGAGGAAGTAACTACACCAATGACATCACAGAGCCATCCAAATACAACTAGAGGGTTAAAAAGAAGCACAAGAAAATCATTTGGAACTCATTTCACTTGTTAAGCTGAGACTCAGAAAAATCTCTCTCAAGACAACAACAGCTCTCTAATCTAATCAATCAATATGCATTTATTAAATACTATGTGCCAAGCACTAGGGATGCAAAAAAAGTCCCTGACCTCAAGGAGTTTACATTAGAATGGAGAAGAGAATATAAATGATGATGATGATGATGATGATGATGATGATAGCATTTATGTAGTATGTTAAAGTTTACAAAGCGCTTTACGTATGATATTTCATTTAATCCTTCTAACAATCCTCTTAAATAGATGCTGCTATCTTCCTCTTACAGATGAGGAAACCTAAGTTGAGAGATTGATTGAGTTTCCCAGGGTCACATGGCTCAAGTATGTGTCTGAGATAGAATCTGAACCCAGGTCTTCCTGACTCCAGTTCTGATACTCCATCCATTGTGCTACTGAGCTGCCTAAAGACAGAGTGGATGAAAAGCAACCTTAGAGAGGAAAGCACCAGCAGCCAAGCAGAATTAGAAAGGACCCCTGGAGATGGTGGCATTCGCATAATAATTAGCACTGTAGCAACTGTTGCAACAGGTGTCATTCTTAATAGCAAAAAATGAATTTCACGATAATATGAGAATTAATACTCAACCTTATCAATGAATAGAGACTTACACACTTAATTCACTCTGGTGATAACTTCTGAGCTTTAAAATATATCCCCCAAAACATAAAGACTGATATTTCAGGAATCAAATGAGTGAGCTCAAACAGGTTGTGTTGATTCTTGGATTACTGCTCTCTACTTATTGTCACCATAGGAAAGGAAATTGATTAAAACTAAACAGGATGTTCTTCAAATGGAAAATACTTAATTAGGGTTTGTCTTCATTTCCCTCAGGACAGCACCCAGGGAACATTTTCATTCTATGTATTTGTGCTCTGAAGTGAAAAAAAAAACTATTGGCCCACATATTTTTCCATTTTCCAAAGTATTTTTATTTGCTGAAGAATGGTAATAAAAGGTAATGTTAACCAGAGCTAAGGGAGTTATGGTAAGGAAAAGAACAAAGTAGTTTGCTTCAACCCCCAGATGATTTTGGAATAAAGCACTAGACTGGACATACCTTAAAACTATAGACAGAAGATGCTAACACCCTTCTTTCTCTTCCCATACTCTCGAAAGAATTCAAAAGAAAAAACAGGAAAGTCAAAGTAATTGAGAGATATTTTATTTACTCTTCTTATAGCATTAGGGCTGTGTTTGCTCTTGCAGATAATTAGAAACTTTCACTAATCTGGCATCAAATGGTGATATGAGAAAGTAATTAACAATGATAGTCTCAGATACTACCCATCCTTACATTTAAGTAGAAGTTACACATAAAATCAATCAATTAATAAGCATTTTTACTATTCCACACCTACTATGTGCCAGGCCTGTGACTGGATTAATAGACTAGTCTAAGACAAGTCCTTAATGTAGACAAGATAGCATGCCTCTACCTCACTGTGATATGTTATAAAGAGAAATAGAAAGTATTCAAAAGGAACAAAAAAAGGCAAGAAGGGTGTTAATTTCCTCATGGTTCATTTGCAGACCATCAACTAAAATGAGAAGGCACAGACATATGGGGGTATACTCCATTTTATGCTGATCCAATGTATGAAAATCCATATTTACCAGAGAGATAAAAGGTCATTATTCACTCTGCAAAAATATTGTTTCACAACAGGCTTTATCACTGGATTCCTTTAAGTAATGAGTCACTCCATCTAATATCCCCTCCCCCCACAACCTAATGCATTTAAAATGAAATTTTGCAAAAAAAACTGATTTACAAATTAACTCA